CACACACACACAGGGAAATGTGTGCACATGCCACAGACGCAGAGGGACAGACACCTGCAGAGTGTTTGTCACCTCTTCTGTTGGCATCTGTGACCGCTCGGCATTGTGGGAGAGATGGCCATCTGTTGTCGGCGAGGCTGGATTCGAAGGGGACAAGTGGGCACCATGCATCATGCTGCTCTTTTCTACTGGTCGGAGTTGTGTGAAGTGTTGAGTTGTTTTTTTGTTGTTTTTTTTGTTGTTTTTATTCCTACTGGCGTCAATTAGCTGTGATATTATAGCAACAGGAAAAGGGAAAACTGAGTTTTGCATTGTGTGGTTGTCATGATGTTAAAAGTAATTGGAGCTTCTCTTGAGGGCATTAACACATTTTTGTTGTTCAGGAAATTCAGCATATGCTAATTACACAAAGGCAATGTCCCATACAGAATGTTTTGGATTCATTAAAACCACATGCAAATGGTTGTCTTTTGTCAGATTGAACCCTCTCCTAATTATCTTGGAAATGTTTACCCGTCTTCACAGGCACACAGCACATGAACGTGTGATTGACATGGCAGTGGCTCCGGAGTTTCATCAATTATCCCGGCAAGGTTACGATTTCCGCCTCGTGATTCACAGCAGGTCCTTGTCATTCTCAATGCGGCAATGCTAAACTCTTTTCTCTCTCTCTTCGCCGCTGTGACCTATGAATTTTAAATTTGCTACAGATACAAGATGGACAGGGAGTTAGAGCTTTTAAAAGGATTGTGGTGTTTAAAAGGCTGAGCGAGCTGAGGGCTGCTTTCGATTTCATTTTGTTGGTCGCTCAATCAATGTGCTGCAAACAGAAATATTTCAACAGCGGACTGCTATGAGATTTGTTTAAAACATTCGTAGTCCCAGAGGATTAGTCCTACTGACCTTGGAGATTCCTTAAAATATTGATTTGTCATAAAAGTATAAAGGATTTTCTTGTGGCATCTTTTAACAAAACCACGTGCTTGAAATGCCAAATATATTGGCTATAGGTTTAGAAAATGAAGCTTAGTTTCTACACTACACAAAAAAAATGTGTCTAGTTTAGTTTTAACACTGTAGGCAGCCACTGCTTTTCAAATCCAGTGACGCTGCAAAGAAAGAATTCGTTCCACAAGAGACGAAGCATCAACAAACACGGAGCTGGGGAGAAATGTAGATTTTATTTAGAGAACAAAGAGCAAATACAAAGACATCCGCTCTCCCGAAAAATAATGGACAGGACTGAGTGGAGTCAGATTGCGATAACAGAGACATTAACCCACATATTCCTGAAGGACATTCATGTGTGCAGGACGCTCATTTGGCCGGTTGGTTGGGCTGCTGGTCTGCTCATCCAGCCGGCCCACAGATCGCAGACAGATGTTCGACCAGCCAAGCCTGCAGCGCCACAGGCACTTGTGTGTTCCAGAAAACGCGGAGACCAGATGCTGCTACCTGGTGTCCCACCCACCCGCCGATCTGCTGCACTGGGCATGCTCCAGTGGTCGTCACGTGACCCCAGATTTGGGTTTTGAGATCATGTGCCGTCAATCACAGCCGATGATGGAGGAGAGCAGAGGTGGAACTGAAAGACGTCGTGGGGTCAACTCAGCAGCTGATTGTTTTAAATGATGGATCAAATAAGGAAGCTATAGGAACATGTCAGTGGATGTGCATTTTCTACAGTGTTAGGAGTCACATTAAAGCCACAGTAACACAGAGACCAATATCACACTATAAAGAACTACTTTTGGAAAATGCCAGCATCAAACCACACATAAAATACCACATGGCATTCCACTGAGTGAACTTTCTGAAGTGACATCAAACGATAAAAAGCAGCGTCTACTTCTCTTTCAGCCTCGTTTTCTTTTCCCCTCCAGTTTTGTTCCCCGAATAAATAAACAGTCTTTCGAACAAACAGAAGCACACATCCATCTCCGCCGTCCCCGTTATTACCAGAGCACGAGGAAACTTTCGAAGAGTTTCAAAGACGCTCAAGATTAAAGATTTATTTGCTCTTTTGAAGTTGCAGCAGTGTCTTATTCCTTCAACAAATGTGGTGTGGTAATGGTGTTTTCGCAGCGTGGCTGGTACTGACCCAGAACTGGCACGGAGAGGTCGACGGCCGGCCGCTGGTCTGAGCTCCCCCTAATGAAGGATGGCTCAGTGATGACACTGCTTCCATTGTAACCTCGAAGGACAGACAGTTTACCTGCTCGTATTCAGACTGTTATTTATATGACATTGTGTTGTAGATGAATAGAAAAGATTAGGGGGAAGCTGAGTTATTGGATTGTTACATTTGGGTGGTTTTGTTTTATGGCATCTTTTTATAGTCTGGTCTGCAACACACGTCTGGTTTGCTCAGATTATTTCTTCTTCTAAACCATGTGGAGCAAGCTCTTTTGTTGAGTATACTGATTGATCTTGATGAGGAGAGTTATTGTCTCGTTCATCTGCTGTCTGTGTCGTCCCTTTTCTCCATTGATACGCATCAACGGGTGCAAGAAGACTTTCACCTTTTCTCATATTTGGCTGCACTTGTTAGATTTTACAGTCACGTGTGTCGCTGTGCTCCGATCCGATCCACAGATTTCGATTAAGTTTAGAATTCCAATAACACCTCATTGTTCTTGTTTTTATTAACTGCTCTATCTCTTAGATTCATCAGGCACATCTCAGTGTGCTGTGCATCACTGCATCTCTCTCCCCCCTCTGCTCGAGGGCCAGCAGAGAACCACACTGCCCCCTAGTGCTCGCTGCCATTGGTAACACAACAGAATTAATCGTGCGTCCATCGACCAGACAACAATCTGGTACTGTGCCAGTGGCTCGATACCAAGTCCTGTCATGGGCAGCGATGGACAACAATAGAGTCTACTGATTGGAGGGATGCACACTACTGGTGATGACACTGGTCAACCAGTCGTCTGTCTGTTTCTCTCTCGGTCGCAAGGCCCCTAATTCAGCAATCAACAATATTCACTCTGGAACTCTGCTGTTACAGAAGAGGAGAAATCAGGGGGAGACAAATCTTTATTCTGAGGCGAAAACCACCATCACAGCTTTGATGGATCACTGGACAAGACAAAGCATGCCACAGTGTTGGTGAAGACAAATCCTGTGAGACAGGGTTTTTTCCTAGAACCAGCTGCAAACACTTGTCTGAATAAAACATAAAAGTGTGGATTCATAAAAAACCACAGGAAAAAAAGCAAATGATGTTTTGAATGAAAAGTACAGAGACAAGGCTGCATATGACCTTCATCTGCAAACACACACACTTCCATCATATCCATAACAAAAGGAGCCTGCAACGCGAATCCTGCGTTCTGTTTTTAGCCACAGTAGCACCGAGATGCGATGTGAGCTCAGACAGCCATAGGCTCCTCTGAAGACATCCTAAGTAAGTGCTCCAAATGACAAGACAGACTAAATACCCCCTAACAAACGACACAAGACTGCAGAAAGCACTTTAACAAAGGAGCTATGTAATGAACCCAAGGTGCCTTCTACCCAATATATCATCCTGAGTGAATTTGCCAACATCCCTCTCTTTACCTCCAAGCATGGTAAATGAGAATTTATGCACCCTCTACTTTATCATTCTATACTTTTTTTCTCGCCCCCCTGAGGTAACCACGCCATGTGAGACAGATATTTCCACCAAAGGCAATATCCCCTCGCAGTAATTATATCAGAGCAAGAGAACGGCTCATTAACATATGCTAGGCATGTCAGGAATTTACAAGCACCTTTTGTCGATGCCTCTCGTCAGTGCACTGCTCCCATCCGTATGGTGTCTCCTTTGAGGATGCAACCTCCTCATTTCCATAGACGTCAATCAAAGCCTTGCATGGATTTTTAGAAACGCTCTGTGCAAACACACGGGGATCTCTGAATATGGCAATCATGAGGGACAGCTCAGTGATATGGAAGAAGAGTGTGTCTGCACGGATTGTGGGGGGTGCGACTACATGCTCCGTGAAACGACATGATGAAGACAAAGCGGTGGGGGGAAAGTTTTCTTGATGATGTGCCATCAGTGCAGAGTGGATGGAGTTGTGTTTGATTTTCTGCAGCATGTTAAAGTGGCATGTGTTTATGTGTGAACACACGCAGGAAGCTCGACACCAGACCAACTAACAGACAAGTCCTGAGGCCGCTGAGCTAGTGGCGCCGCCGCTGCTGCTGCTGCCGCTGCTGCTGCCGCTGCTGCTGCCGCTGCTGCTGCCGCTGCTCCACTGCTCCAGGACCCAGCATCTGCTGCCTGTAAGAAGGCACATACTGTTGGCCTTTCACCCGTTCGTGAGGTCCCAGCAGATTAAAATGGCCTATTTAATGACCTATTTATGAGCCGTGTTCTTGTGCAGCACTTAAAACTAATTTTGAATTTCCATTGTGAGGTCCTTATGTAAACATATATATCATTTATGGTAAAAATGTACCCCAGAACGAAATAGTGTCAGTGTAATCTTAGAACATACAGCTCTCTTCCAGCGCTGCAGGCTGGGGAGCAAAATCTTCAGTGATGTAATCAGGCTCAATTTTTTTGTGATCACACAGAGCTGAAATGATGGTATCCAGGGTGATAATTTCACGGCTTAACGAAACGTTTTTTAGATTGAAGAATTTTTGCACAATTTCCTACATTTACAGGTGGAAGAAAAACACGTCTTTACTTAGGCTGTCGACAAATACTGACTGTAAAATGTTAAAGACCATGCTCAGGGCAGAACTTGATCTGCAAATGATTAAGTGGCTTTGTCTGCTTGACCCTCAAGCTTCATCCAGTCAACACCGGTCAGGCCAAGACAGACTGGTGTAGTTTTTAGTTCCACCACAGTTTGCCAGAGAACTTACAAAGTGAGATGGAGCTTGAGAGAAAAGAAATGTTGAGTTTGAATGAGTCCAGTCTTTCCCCCCCAGCAAACGCCTGCAATGACTGAGGACCCAACATCCATTTCCATCACCACCCGCTCTCTCTGTCTCTCTCTTTCCCTCTCATTAATTGTCATTGCCTTTTCCCTGTAAGTGTACTTTCGCCCACACCACTTGGAAATTGATTGAAACAAAATGTCACAATTATGCCCTGTAGCTCGCCGCTTCAATTATTCATCAATTAGGGACTAGGCTCCTTTTTTTCTCTCCTCTGAGCTGATTCTTCATTCAGTTTGCTCGAGATGTATGGCTCCCCTGCTGTTAACCAGTCCAAAGTCATTAGTTTCTGGGTTTGCAATTAAACCTGATGCATTATGCATGAGGCTCTGAGTCAGTAGACACACGCAGCAGCGGCGGCCGCAGCAGCAGCTACAGCGAAAGAGCTAGCAAGCTCTGGAGGAGCGGATGGGAAATTAATTTGCCAGAATGAAGCTCTATCTGTCTCGCCCTCTCTCTCTCCCTCTATCCCTCTCTTATCTGGCAGGTTGGAACAGATGCCACTGGCTGGGGATGGAGACAGAGATAGGGGGCATCCGTGGAGTCAGTTAGTGCAGCTTGATCAGCACTAAATTTAAAACGTCAAATATGTGGGTAAACATTTTAGTGAATTGTTTGTTGACATCTTTATGAATTTATCATTAAGTGGGATGATTGAGGCTCCAGATAAGCTTTGTTTCTCTACAGGGATCACTGTTAAATATGTACTGACCATAACCAACATGACAAAAACAGGGGTCACAGGTTTTATGCATGGGTAAATCATGTGTGGATAAACAACATATGTTTGGTCATTATATGTTGAAGTGTATATACTACACATTAAAGGTGAATTATAAAGTCAGCTGAGGACTGAGTTAAGCTCTGAAACAGGGTCCAACTAAATGTGCAAATTACAATGTTAATTTGCTGCCATCTAGTGGCCACAGAGTCTGCTGCCTGATCTGTGTCGTCTCATTCAGAGGTTCTCGAACTTTCGAATTTCAAGGACCCCTTAACTGACACGAACTAGACCAGCGACCCACATTTCACAAGATTTTTTCTTTTTTTTTTCTTTTTTTTTTACAGGAAGCATGTGAAATAGAGAACCAGAATAGTTAAACATTCAGTCTGTGTGTTACGCATGGATGAAATATTGTGAAAATAAATGCGAGGGACAAATCTGTACATGGATTTTCTGTTAACAAATCTGTATGATAAAATGTGGCATCATGGTTAGTACCTTTTTCATGAACTTGCATTCATGTTGTAGCAACGCCATAGTAGGAGTGTCCTTCTGTATTAAAGCACTTGTATGAGCAGAGAACGGCACGGACGGGAATAGTCAGTGAACTCCTCATTTTCATGTCCTGTAACAAACACAATCAATTAATGAGCCTAATTTGACCCATTATAAGTCATGTATACATAATCAGGTGTCAAATAAACTCATTTTAAATCACAACATTTTACAACGTGTTTTCACACAATACTGTAATTCAGTGTAAGTAAATGCATTAACCTCACCTTCCTCAGACTGACAAAATGCACGCACTCCAGCCAGGTGGTGAGGAAGGGGCGGAGGCAAACTGCACAACAGCTGCCATTGGCCAACAGAGCGGTGAGATGTGGGTAGTGGGGAAGCATCATGTGGATGACAGAGAACCTGTTCCTGTTCTCCCACAACACAAATCTTGCAACCAGTTCCTGGGAAACAAACATGAAACAAGAATTTTAACAAGCACAGATATATTGTGAGATATCTTATATAGCGGACAGACTTCGTGATAGTTACCTTTAATGCGAGAACTTCTGCATCCTGCACTGATGGCATCGGCTCACAGTGCACAAACCTGTTGCCTTCACAGTGCAGCTCCTTCAGGGGCAGCCGGTGAAACTGCAGGGAAGACAGTGACAGTTACCCACACATGATTTAGATCTCTCATGATGGCCCTGAATTAGATAATGTTACAAGTTGTACCTCAACAGGGAACATGGACAACTTGTTCCCAGCCACATCGAGAACCTGGAGTTTTTCCAGAGCACTAATTCCCTGGGTGACATTAGAAATATTTAAATCCAGTTTTGCTGAGTACAAACAAAAATTTAAAAAATGAGGAAAACTGTTCTCTGTATTTAGAAGTGAGATGAGGACAATAAATGTCTGAAGAGGTTCAGGATCACATCAGTGAACACCGACCTCTGGGAGGCTGGTCAGCTTGTTTCTGGCCACGTGGAGCTTGGTCAGCTCTCGACACTGGTACAGCTGCTGAGGCAACTGAGACAGCTTGTTGGAAGTCAGGTTGATCTCAGACAGCTTGGTGAGATAGCCCAGCTCAGCAGGGACCTCCTCCAGGTAATTGTCCAGCACACTGAGATGTCGAAGCTTCCTCAAACTGATTTAACACAGGAAACCATAACTCTTAACTTATTTGTGCTTTTACTTCGTAGAAACAATTTCTTCACAGATACAGATGAAAACTAGACAAATGTTCAAGTGTGATCAAAAGCTCTTCAGAGGTAATTAGTAATATCATAAAATCCATCCTAAAATAAACAGGGAGTCTGTGTAACAAGGCTAAAACAAATTCCTAGTTCCAGTTTTGAACAGTTTGAAGTCGTTTCAACATTTTTTTGGTTAAGAAAATCTGCTGCAATTATCAAGGCGTTAGGAGATGAAAACATTTACAACACTGTTTTTCATCTCCAGAATTTAAAATGAGTCTTATTATGGCAACATTTCTGAGGTGATTAAAAACAAGGTTGGAAGAAGCTATACGATATGTAGAGCACCAAGAGTCTTTGCTCAAGGCAGGTGAAGACTCACAGAGGTTGAATACCTGGAACCTCAAGACCAGAGGACATATGTAAAGCATGACTCCCGAAGATGTCGACAATTTATCTTGTGGGCTACAAATACTAAATCAGTAGATGGATAGAGAGATGGATAAATAGATAGATGGATAGATAGATGGATGGATAGATAGATAGATAGATGGATCATTCAAGGTATGAAGCACATGTACCTTTTCATCTCTGCAGGAAGTCTCTGTATTTGGTTGTGGTTCAGATTGAGCACAACAAGGTTCCGTAAGCCACCTGAAAAACACAAATACAATTAGGAGGTAGATTTTAGCTTTGTGTGTTTTTTTTGGCAGATGTTCATGAAGCAGCAGAGCAGTGACAACTTACCTATCACTTCTGGTGAAACTGCTGTTATCTGATTGCTGAACAGATAAAGTTTCTTCAAGGACTCCAGATAGCGCAAAACTGCTGGAATCTCCTTCAGGGCGTTATTTCCCAGATTCAGCTCTGCCATCTTACAGACAATATGTACAGACAAACATTTAACAACTGACTTAGGTGTAGACATTTTAAAGTGTGAGCTCACAGACTCACGTGTTGTAGGGATGGCAGCTGTGAGGGCAGGACAGTGATACAGTTGTTGTTCAGCAGGAGAACCGACAGGTTTGTTAATGACAGAACACACTGAGGAATCTCTTTTAGCTTCTTTGAGCTCAAATTCAAAGACGTCGCTTTACCATAAGAAGCTCTGACCACGGATTCAGCCATTTGTAAAACACACCTCACTCTTCTCCACACGTTTCCATGGAGACAAGACGCTTCCTATTCCTGACATGGTAATGAGATTTTTTCTCTTGTCCGGTGGCGACATCTAGTGACATGAGGACGAAGATGCAGTTCTGCAGCGTGTTCAGACTACCACAGGTAGACACGATGCAAATGTTCAAATCGTTTTTTCTCATTTTTTTGTCATAAATCTGAAAGTGATTGTTTCCTCATCATTTCTGAATTTATGTGCTTTCATTTAACTTTATAGGAATACAGTAAATGTTCACTCCACACAAGGTTATGTTTTATAATTGCATTGTAGCAGTTTAATGCTTTTACATAGATTTCTTAATGGAGCATGTTATCCTTCATTTATCTTGTTGACCACACTCCGGTTTGATTATATTCACATTATAAAACACTATACTTGTACATCCATTTGTCCGCTGTCATGTTCCAAAATCTTTATGGATCCATGAATTTCTGATTTAATTTTCTACTCTATTTTCTTTTCACTTGTAAAAACCCTTTGTGCTTGAGCTTGAAAAGTTCTATAGAAATAAATTACATTATTGAAACTTTATCCTAATAATAAACCAGACAGAAAATATTGGAGTTTGACGTCACAATGTCACATCTTTGTAAACAATGAAGATTCTGGAACAAGACCGCACTGGTGCACACTGGTACTTTTCCTCTTTTTGTAAAGATTTTTTTCTAGAATTTATGGGCATGTGTATGTGCCTGACTTCAACAATTAAAACATTCAAATACAACCAATAATTCCTGATCAGAATGACCAAACATCAAGCAGTGACACATCTCAATCTCTTCAGTATTGTACGTATTTAAATAACATTGACATGTGTTAACAGGTCCAACAACTCAGTTCCTTCTTAGAACACCGCAAAAAAACTTTAGAATCTCATTGGACATGTACGATCAACAGCTCTTCCGTGCTCTTCTGTCCTTGTGGATTTTGTTTAAAAGTATGTTCTATAACACTACATCCCAAAAAGGGCTGCAGGGGCACCATGGGGTATAGTTTAGACCAAGGGTGTCCAATGTAAAATCATGAGCACACTAATTTAATTTCTTTGCTTTCTTTCCTTAGCACAAATCACCCTTTGAAATACATTTGTATTTATGGGCCCTTGGTGTGAGTGGTTTTTACGCTCCACATTACACAAACTGGTTTATGTCACACTGAGACTGAGTTGTCTCTCAGCTGTCCTCTGCATTGGCTGGGTCCTTTAGCCGCTCCACAGAATTATAGTGCTCTCCCAATCCATAGGCGTGACGCATGTAGCTGTAAACAACAAGAAAAGAGGCTCTAAGTCAAAATCTCTTAGATGCAGCTCTGCAATATATTTTGTAAAGCCCTATCAGAGCCGTTGATGTAGTTTCAACATAAATTAGATTTATACAAGTTTGTCTATTACTGATCTAGTGTGTTCTGTGATAGCCATTATGTTATTTCAAATGAAATTACATTAGAGAGAAAAAACATCATCATATGTCTTTCATGAAGAAGTGATGTAAATAAACTGTTTGTAACTGTCTTATGTTTTGATTTTTACAAACATATTTTACATAATTAAAGATTATATCTAAAAGCCTCTTTACTGCTTTACCACTGTCTCTCAACTGATGTGAATCAAACCATAGAGGCTCATTTAAATCATTTTTTTTATATATCATTGATATTCTACCAACTTGCTTTCTATATTTTAAAGATCAAGTAAACACAACTTCAATCCCAAACAAATAATAACATATTAACAACATACACAAGGGTGATGGGTTCACTGTTATATTCCTCCCCAATTTTTATAGCTGGGGAATCAGCCTGGATCACTTCTATCGGCAACTGAAGAACTTGGGTTAAAGCTCGGAGCTGCAGGATAAAAGACAAGAATAATATATGAATTATTGTAAAAGAACAACAGGAGCAACAGCACAGTGTATCAGTGATAGAAAAAAACTAACCTCCAGCTGTCCACCCCAAGCTGCTGTGTGCTCCACTTCACTGCAGTATTTCTCAAACTCATCTGGAAACCAACAAACACTTGTATGAATATTGTGCATACACATTATTATGTTGTGACATGTATTATTATACCTATAAACTTAACCAAAGGAAAGTTAACAGTGTTACCTGTTGTGAACATGTCACCAGTGTTGGGGTTTGTGAGGAAAGGCAGGAAGTCATCAACATGGCCTCTCATGTGCTCGGCGGTACGAGACCGCAGCTCCTTCACACTCATGGTTAATCCAGGCTGGAATAAAGCACAACACATTATGTTCTCTATGTGTACATCCTTGGCCAAGTCGCCATTTTCAACTGCAGCAATTCTACATTGTCTGTATTTGCATATAATGCTTCTGATTAGGTATTCAAAACGCAGCTACAGTGACAATACGCACCTTTGATCGCTGTGCCAACTGATCTTCAATGGCTCGGTACATGCAGTGGCCATCGGAGGAGATCTCTTTGATCTGAAGCTGCTGCTGGGTGAGTTTCTGAGTCAGCTTTACGCCCTCCTGGTGCCTCACACCCTGCAGGTTCTGCACCTCGGCCTCTGCTATCCTGCTCTCCCTCTCCTTGTCCTGTGTAGCCTTCTTGTCCTGGAGAGGATCATTTACATAAAATGCATTGCATCATATGTGAAATGTTAAGGTATAATCAGTTACAATGTTACTGTCTAAGGTCCTGACACTTGCTTATTATTCGGTATGTAATTTGTGCAGGGGAATTCTGGGAAATGTGCTTCGTCCTCTGTATACTAATTGCTGAGGGCAAAAACAAACAGTTATTAACCTGTCCTGTTTGAGAAGGAACCTGTAACTCACCCTTCTCTTCTGGGCCTTGGATACTCGTTGTTGTTTGACCTCTTCTTGTTCTCTACCCTCCATCTCCAAGGTCTCAACTCCATTTACCAACTCTTCCACCTTTAAAAATTAGGTGAGGAGAGCATCAATCAATACACAGACTTTGTGTAAGTATGAATAATGACATGCAAATGTGGAAAAAACATCCCTTGCATATATATACCTACACCTAAATGCGTTTCCATCATTTACAGTGTGACTCTGATGCATAACCATGATATTTGTCTACCGTCAGGCCTTTACCTTTGTGTCAGGTGTAGATTGGAGTTGCCCAATTTCCTCCTCGTGTTTCTGACTGAGGTCTGCTTCAAGCTTGGCAATTTCCTCTGTCAACTGTTTCCTCCTTTTCTTGTCATTTTTGGGGACTGCATTTTTCATGCTCTGGATTTTAGCTGAAAATGAAGTACAGACAAAATAATACTTAATTTAAGGTTACAAACATTAAATACAGGCTTGTTGAAGATGGATGCATCTCCAGGTGATATTAATGCACCTTGTGTTAGTCAGTTAGAAGAGGTTCACGTGAACATACTTCATAAATCCATAAATCATATGAAGCATGTGCTGCAAACCTCTGTCTATAAGTTAACTGTAACCTATGTAACATGGCATGAAGAGAATCAGAAACAGCTTTATTAACTAAATATCTTAAGTAAACATGGAATATGACTGTGTTTATCTAGTTGCCATCAATGTACTGAAACATATAAGATAAATATAGAAATGGAGCTAAAGATGATATGAAGCAGAACGAATATAGGTAAACATTACATGTAATAATTATGTACATACCAATAGGAGGAAAAAACAAATACAGATATATATAAAAAATGCAACCATGAACAGCAGCATACATGTCGATACTTGTATACTGTACTGTATGAATTGCAAACAATAAAGGAAATAGTATAAAAGGAGTGCCGGGATGAGAGTAAATAGGAAATGAATATTCTGCCATCATGCCACATCTCATTCTGTGGTGTCACATGTGGAATTTGGCTTTAACAGCTGACTTAAAACATCTCTGATCAGATTTGGCTGCTGTGATTAGATACTTGAAAGTTTTAAGACATAAGAATTTAAATAGCATCTATGACTCCCTTTGTGCTCTAACCTTAAACTGCGAATCCTTGTTGACTACAAGATGATAAATACCAAAGACATGACCATAGTCCTAAGTGTGGATCCTGTATTCTGCTCCAAACTGGCTCGTGTTACATTATGGCTTCAGCTGCTGCTGCTAGAGTTCAAACTGAATCAAATTCTACTAGATTAAATAAAACATCGGGATTGATAAAGGTTAATACATGTATTAAAACAGTAAAAACCAGTGACAGCAGCTACCTTGCAGATCTTTCTTTTCCTTTCTGTGCTGTTTCACCAGCAGCTCCTCCGGTGTCTCCTCCTCCATGACTGGATGCTGCTGCTCACTTAGTTCAGTGAGTCTGTAGCAGCGACACGAAACTAACCATTAAATAAACACAGAGTCAGAATAACACGGATATAAAATGTGGCTCACCACTGGTACGAGATAAAAATACAGAAAACGTGCTGAGATGGTCTGATCCGGAAGCGACGGAGCAGTAGGGCGGAGCTTTCTTCTTCTTCTACTCCGTCCCCTCCGTCACTGAAGTTGCTTGCAGCACCACCTATCGGCTCATCACTGTGCTACGGTTCAAGGGACAAAAGGGACACAATTGTCTTACATCGATGTTTCAATGGAGACACCAAAAAGAAATGATTTAAACTGATGGATCCATTGGTCTGAAAATTAACTGTCAACAATTTTGATGGTTGATTAACTTTTTTGATTCTTTTCAAAGAAAAGCCTCGACATATCATCCAATAGACTGAAAAAGAGAAATCAAGCTTTGAGTGAAATGTCTCCAACTCATGTTTAGTCATGGGAAAGATATCAAATTAACTATTTTTAACAAAGAACTCAAACTGAATGACTTTAAATTAATTTGCATGGTTATTATTAATAGCTACTTGCAGTAAAATGTGTCGTATCTGGACATTCACGTTGATCTGGGCCTAGTTATGAAGACATCACATGCTCCTGCTTTCATAAATGGATTTACATTGTCCCATGAATATGTTAATGATTTATGAATAGGGTCTATTAAAGGTTCAGTGTTTAGAATTTAGTGACATCTAGTTGTGAAGTTTGGTGTTGCAGCTGAATACCCCTCACCCGAAACACAAGGAGAACCTGTGTTAAACTTCAGTTGTCATGAAAACTAAATAAAAAGCTGTTTTGTGTTTCCAGTCTGGGAGTGAGTAGAAACACCATTAGGATTATTTTATATTCCATTTTGTTCACCACTGAACCTTTAAATGTGCTCCTACAAAATAATGCAGAATTATCCAAACAGGAGCCCCAGGTGATGCACTGAAGCAGGATGATCATCTGTTAAAAACACGTTATTACAGAGTATTACCACAAACACTACGTCGGTTCGTGAAACACTGCGCAGGTCGCAGAGTCTGGAGGCGGGCGCGCTGTGTGACGTGGCGCTGGGGGCGGAAGGTCTTGTTTGTGTTTTGGTTCTAAGGGGAAGTTGCGAGAAGAAAGAAAAAGGAGGAGACGTGACGGGGTTGTTGAAATTTATTTTCTCCCCCCCCCCCCTCACCAACAACACCACCACCGGCACCACCTCACCACGGTGACCCTGGTTCCGTGCGTAAAACCCCACAGCGGCGGCGTTGGAAAGTTCCCTCCATCGTCTGGCTCTCAGGTACTCGACGTGAATCGACAAGTTGTGTCTCCCAGCTGGCGGACAGGCTAAAGCTAACGTCTGCTCACTTGTCATCGGTGGGGCTGATGTTAGCATAGCGCCGTGGCTAGCTGACTCCTGCTGATGTTCTATAGCTACGTGAACGCAGAGATACAGGCCCGTGTCACATCTGAACGAGTCCTGCTCTTCCTCCTCTGTGTCAATGTGTTGCCATTAGCATGCGGCTAACGCTGCCTGGTGCGAGCAGCTGTGCGGCTGGCTAACAGCTGACTCTAATAGCTAACAGCTAACTGGGTGGAATCAGGTCAGTGGGTGGAATGCCAACGATGCTAACAAGCTAACGTTCGTGTTTTTTTTTAATTGAGGTTTCGAAAACTCCACATTGAATAACGTTGACCAACCAACACAACACATCTGTGTGACAACAACCCGCAGCAACGCGTTGACTCGCTTGTCAACACTGTTCTAAACTTTATTTGTCTGAGCCTGTCGTTGTGTGCTGTTGGGAGGCTAACGTCAGAGTGGCTGCTGCCATGAAGCTAACTGGCTAGACAACCAAAACAATTTGGAAAATGGCGTCCCCTTCTATAATCGAAAAGGATACGAGGCTACAGTTAGCACGAGTGAGTGTGTTTACAGCAAACTAACGACGGATACACCCACATCATGTGTGAGCGTCACAGTCGTTTGTTGACAGCCCCTGTCGTGAGTCCCTGAAACGCAGCTACTCTGCAGGTCCTTGTGTGTATTTAACTCACAAGTTCTGTGTTTACCCAGACGAAAATTAGCTTCACACACACACACACACAAACGTATAGACTTGTAAAACTAAACCTGTAGACAAGTTAGGCCCTTATGTGATCCTTATTGTCATCAGTTTATATCTTGACCCTCTGCTGTCTTGATGTCTGTCGACACTTCAGCACAGACACTTGACCAGACTTGTCGTTGCAGTCTCATTTTGAATATACATATAGGTATATCCACTCACTGGTACAGCAGGGAAGCATATGCACAAAATAGGCACCTGGACATTTGTACAGTTTCATAGGAAAGTTTTGGAATAAAGGTGGAGCTTGGTGACAGTGCATGGCGAGGTGTACGCCCCCCAGTGTAATTTAGTGCAGCAGTAAATCATCGTGGTTAACGGTGACCTCACCATCAACACCTCTCGGAGAACAATGTCAGCAAACATGTGACCGATATACTTCATGAAGTAGCTTTTTGTGTGGGACCACTGAGCCTTATAGCATTTGAGAGCATATGTGAGACTGACCTCTTTTATACGTGTCCCCTGGATTAGGGAGTTTGGTGTGGGGTGCACATTGCAAGTCATTACAGTAATTTGTTTTTGGTCAGGGATAAGAGTGCATTAATCATGCACAGGACAAATTTTCCCTGCAAAATCAGATATGTGTTTTGATTATCTCCCGACAACAGCTATTTGTTGTTTATAAATTAGTCAGCAGTTTCTTCCTAAGTCAGTTAGTAAGGAATGCATGAATGCATGGTATGTGACCGTACATGCGGGTGGGTTAAAGTCTTGTGGAAGCTCCTGAAACTGAAGGGATTGTTGAAAAGTCCTTTGCTTGCTGTTACTGCATGTTGTTGTGGTGGGCTACCTTTGTTTATTGGATAATGTTATTCATAAATACATTGTTGGGAAGAAATGCTTACTTCTGTGTCGTAAATGTGGATAAACTGTGTCAATAATGAAGTTGTTATACTTAAATGAGGGTTTTACAGGTTTGAAAGACTTAAGATGGAGTAAACCAGCGGCATTCAGATGATTAGAAAATGTTTACAAAGGGGGATATGGATGAATTTACTTTTTCATGAATACTGAAAGACATAAACGTGATATTGCATACATTGTAAGTTTTCTTAACTTGGAGTCAATTAGTCATTAAGCCTTCAGTGTTGTAGATCTGTAGAAACCAGATGTTCATTTCCAACAGCCTCTGCCAAACCTGCAGAATGCACAGCATTGCATTACATTAGCTCTGTTGATTGGTAGAGTCAGTCAGATGAGTGTGGGAGCTGACACAACTTTTAAAACGCATCACTAACAGAGAACGGAGAGCATATTTACCTACAGTGATATGCAGCCTAATGTTTCATATGATAATAGCAATCATACGTGATTTATTCTAAACAGTTGATGAGTACTTCCTCTCTTTAAATTTCAAATCTATTCTTGTTTATTTTTGTTAATCCCATCCTCATCAATATTTTTCAGAATCCTAGAAATGCCCCATATTACATATTCATTTCTATAAGTGCTTCATAGAGGCCACAGCCTATGTTTGTATTTTGTACAATTAGGTTAATGTAGTCTGGACCCTGTTTTTTTACACTGACTGAAGTAGATTAATCTTTTTTTAATGTGTTAATGTCTCTTGTCATAGGAGAACAAGGACAAATCTGTTCATAGTAACTTCTGATAGATCTTAAACAAACAAGACACTGTCTTGACCCATTAGTGCTTTGGTGTCACTTGATTTGTTTGTTAAAAATATTGTAACATAAAATGCTGGGGCATATTTAATTCAAGCTGATTTGTTGTTAGTTGCATTTACTCTGATCCGCGATTCTCTTCTATGTATAACATGTTCTTATGGCTGTTGATAAAGCAATTTCTTCTCTTGGTTCTTGCAGTAGACGTCCTGATAGTGAGGTTTGGCACACAGGACACCGGGCGATCTGACTTGGTCATGGCCAATCGGGGAGGAGCTACGAGACCCAATGGACCCAACGCAGGGAACAAGATCTGTCAGTTTAAGCTGGTGCTGTTGGGGGAGTCAGCTGTTGGAAAGTCCAGCTTAGTGCTTCGCTTCGTCAAGGGCCAGTTCCATGAATTCCAGGAGAGCACAATAGGAGGTGAGCTTCATATCAGCAGGTCAGACTGTTGGTTGACATTCAAATGGGAGTTTTGTGATACTATTAATTTATGTTTTAACTAAGCTTATCTTACTTTTATTCAAATAGTTGAATTGAGATCCAGGATAAAATTTAGTTCTATAGAGTGAGCCACAGTTTTACTCACATAATAGGACTTGAAAGTGTTTTGCTATATTTATGACCATTTTTCTTCACATGAAATTGTTAAGGTGTCGATACTAATTATCTGATGCTGACTAACCTCTCACCTCCTCCTTTCCCTGCAGCGGCCTTTCTCACTCAAACGGTGTGTCTAGATGACACAACAGTGAAATTCGAAATCTGGGACACTGCAGGCCAGGAGCGTTACCACAGTTTGGCACCCATGTATTACAGAGGAGCACAGGCGGCCATTGTGGTCTACGACATCACAAACGAGGCATGTTTGTCCACCTTGTGCAATTTTGCCAACATGATCTCATCTCTAACTGATGATAGTTGCTGTGTATTCAGCCTAATGCTTACCCTACAACAAGTTCAAATACAGCTGCTGTTACAGATTGCAGTAGCACAAAGGTACAATGAATGGCACAATTTCTTGTATTTACAGGAATCCTTCGCACGGGCTAAGAACTGGGTGAAGGAGCTGCAGAGACAAGCCAGCCCAAATATTGTCATCGCTCTGTCAGGCAACAAAGCTGACTTAGCCAGCAAGAGAGCTGTCGAATTCCAGGTTAGACAAAAAAAAAAGCTGTGTCTTGACACCTCTTCCCTCTAAATGTGATTCACCTCAGTGTGTGCATGTGTAAGGATGTGTTCAACTCATGGTGGTTACGTTGTGTTAACAGGATGCCCAGTCCTACGCAGATGACAACAGCTTACTTTTCATGGAAACATCAGCTAAGACTTCTATGAATGTGAACGAGATATTTATGGATATTGGTGGGTAACTCTTGAAACTTCATTCATAGATTTTGCCAGTGGTGATCTGAACTAAACTAATTAGTCCTAGTAGTTCTATAAAGGATTTATTATCATTAAATGGTTGTGGTCAGGCTTGCATAATGGAAGATTGGACAGATATAACTGCTTCTGCTGCAACATCTTTGAATGTCGTTAAGTTTTCGTTTTTGTTTCGTTTCAGCGAAGAGATTGCCGAAGAGTGAGCCTCAGGCTGCAGGAGCAAATACCGGACGCACCCGGGGAGTGGACTTGACAGAAGCCGCCCAGCCAGCCAAGGCTCCGTGCTGCAGTAACTAACGTGAAGAACGCCTTCCCTCCAACCAACCTGTACAGCAGTAGCTAATGCGACTGATGCCCTGACTGCCACTGCAGTTACTAATGCAACGTGTTGTACTCTTATCTCCACATCTCTTATCGGCAAAACGGAAAAGATGCCCTGTGCCCACCTTTTGTTTTTCGGTGTAGTGAAGTCACCTCCATTACACTGATCTCTCCTTTCCTACGTTGTGGTTCTGCTGCTACCTGGTGAAGCCTCCTTACCATCCATTCTTACTTTCTGTCATCTAGCTTTTTGCATCTATCAGTTATTACTGATAGAACAATAGCAGCAGGTATTAGAGATTATTAGTGTACCCTGACTTCCATGATCTTCCTTCCAACATGTAGATGTGGGTTTCTTTTGGGGGAAGTGGTCACTTCCCTTTTTTTGAGATAGCTTTGTGACAAAAAATCTAAAATGCAAATCCTCTGTTTTTGTTCATTTCTTAACCATTTTCCTAAAAGTCATTCAGAATTGTGTAGCACATATCTGTACACTCACATGGCCTAAAATAGAAAAACAAAAAAAGGAGTTATATCTTTTTTCTACAGTAGCCCAGAAAAAAGTCTGTTAGAGGAGTGTATTAATAATGCGAGAGAGGAAAAGTGGAGGGTGGAGAGGGATGGAGAAGAACCCAAAGCATCATGTTTTTTTTCACCAGGAAACTTGTATGTGAAAGTTAAAAAACAGCTGTGGACTGTTGTCCTTTTAGATTTTCTCTATCTGACTCCCTTCTGTCCACTACTATCCACGTCCTTTCCCCACTAAACCCAAAGTAGCATTAGTGTACATTCTCTTCCCCCTTTATAGGCTCTATTCTGGGGCCATGCCTGCTTCTAGCTGTCCCGAGTGGCATCGTGCAATGTTTCACAGTCTTATGTCTGTGATTTTAAGTGTCTGCAAGGACCAGTGCAGAACAGCAGATCACCCTGCTATACCCAGCTTTCTCCACAACAAGGCGGAGGAGGGTCTCTGAGCAACTCATCAGTGTCACCGCCCCTCCACCTCCCCGTGCAGTGTCCTTCCATAAATCTTGTGTAGACCCCCCCCCCCCCATGGTCATACTGGGGTCTCTGGAGTTTCTGCCTTTGGATGATTTAGTTAATGCAGGTGACCTTTACTGTCGTGTGGATGTTGATGGACGGCTGCTGGGATTGCACATGGTAAAAAGCGAAGGTGATGGTAGCGAGCAGGGAGTTGCAATATGTCCGTTTGCTTCATAATCACCTTTTGAATTGTTAATTATTTGTCTGCTCTTGATTAGGCAGTGCTTCAGACAAGGTCATGTGTCGCCGTGTACAAACTGGGCCTGGCTGGCTGACAGATCTCATCCATAGACTTACTCACACGTGCCCGTTTGTGTGCGTGTATGTTTGAACACATAAAAAACACACTGCCCCATTTGAACTCTGTGCGACCGAAATATATTGTACATAAGTGCACACACATAGGTTGTCTGTTACACAACTCCCTCATAACATATTTGTGTTGTCTTTTTTGCCCAACCCCCCAACTATACATCATTGTTATTTACACACATAAACACACATTCATAGCTCTTTTTACAGACCTGTCTTACTCATGCCTTGCACTAATGATGCTCATGAATATATCTTGTCATAATTACAGCCAGTGTGATATAAATATATATAAATAAATATAAATATATAAATAATATACTGTAAATAGGGTGTTGCAGTGTAGCCTACCTTTTTTGATTTACCAGTGACCGGACTAATGCTTGCTAGGGGGCTGTCTAGATAATCATTAAAAAAACTGTACATTTGGAGAAAAAAAAAACAGCTTTGGACTTTTGTTGTTGTTCCTTTTCCACACAAATGGTTCAAATCATAATCAGTGGCGGTCTTTATAAATGTTCGTAGTGTTATGAACAAAAAGAATGAAATTGCATTTAATTAATCATCTGTCTTGTACCTTTTTTTTTTCCTCACAAGAAAAAAAAATCCTGGTTTTCTATTTTGTAACACTATTTGGATTTCACTAATTCTTTTTTGTAGTGGTATCAGGCTACGATTCCTTGTCCGGTTCTCCTCCACCTGTAGTTAGACCTGGACCTCCAGAGGGTCGTAAAAGCCCCAGAGGAGTCGGACTCGATGCAAAACAGTTTTATTAACCAGCTGTCTGCCCCTCCATAACATCTCAGTAACCTTGTGACCATATTGTAGCAAACAGTGTTAACAACTGTCAGCTGGGGATCGATGGTGATTCATGAATAAATCAATTATGAATTAACACATAATGGGGATGTAAATTGTGTGTGGTTTTTTTTTTGCCATGAATACTTATTTGCAGCAGAAAAAACTAAGAATGCAAGCATTTTACAGTACTGTTATGTAATGACCAAATAAATACTGAAATAAAGTTGATCATTTATTATTGTAATCAGGCTGTGTGTAAATATATATATATATGTGTGTGTGTGTGTGTGTGTGTGTGCATGGACCTGTCAAATTGACACTATGTCTGACATTTACCCTGTTTAATTATGCACATGGATCATAAATCCTGATGCTAATATTTGTCTAAATGTGATGAGAAACTCTGCATGCTTTCCTTTTGGGGGATTCGACTTTTCTCTCATGAAACATTTTTATTGTTGTTAATCCTAGGATTTGCTTAGTGCTGCATGAAGTGACCATGATCCACCAGCTCAGGAAACCAAGCCACGTGTTTTTCCATCTCATTTGACCTTGAGATTTTTCTCGCATTTCGTGACCTCTCGTCTCTGAATTCTGGTGGAATTGGTCCGTATGTCCCATCTCAGTCCCCTAGCGGAGGAAAATGGGCCTACAGTGAGAAATTGAAAATAAGGATGAGCGCCATGTCTGATCCTCCGCTGGTGGAATAAGAGCGGACGGCAGAGCGAAAATTTTCCCCGGGCCGCGGTTCCCTTCGGGGTTCGTTGCGAACTATGGCCGACAGCGCCGGGATCCAGCAGGGTTCGCCGGCCATCGGGGCCGCGGGCTTGGTTCCGGCCGCTCCTGGAGCCGGGGGGACGGAGGGCTCTGGCGCCGCTGGAGGATCCGCACGTATCGCCGTGAAGAAGGCGCAACTCCGCTCCTCACCTCGGCCGAAGAAACTGGAGAAACTCGGCGTGTATTCCTCCTGCAAAGTACGATCTACCTGCAGACTCTTTACTGGCAGCGGTGTGAGGGCTTGCTCTTTACAAAGCATCTGTCCTGTGCAAGGTTGCAATAGTTAACAAAATGCAAGCGCAGCAAAGGAAGCCATTGCCGCACTTCATTTTTTTTTTTTCATTTTGCATGCACGAAGCAATTACCGAGAATGCGATATTAAAAATCAGGCGACTTAAAGCGTCACCGTGGGCACAGGGGTTGAAAGCAGGGGGCCTCCAGCTGCAAACTGTCCGCTGCTTTTACGATCACACTATGTTTCTGTCAAGGTGGGGGGTTGTGAACGTAAACATTGGCTTGGCGCTGGTTCTTGGGAGTAGCTGTGCGGTGCTGTGCGCGCAAGGGCTGCATCCGTGCGTAAAGGCTTGCCCACGGGGACATTTCAGCGCCGTGCCGCCGGTGAGCGCACGATGCTAATTTTTATTTTTTTGGGGGGGGGGGTCATGCAGGGTATATGATCCGCAGAGAGAGAGAGGGACAGGGTCTTTGTTTTGACAGGGTGACAGCTGCTGGAGGGGGGGTGGCCGAGAGGGGCGGAGTTTGTTGTTGTTTCACGGCGCATGCGCAGTGCGGCGCCTCCAGCTGACGGTGACAGGCCTGCTCGCCCCACCTACTAAGCCTGAGCAGTCACAACAAACCTCCATTAACCTAAGAGGCCTTGACAAGGTGTGAAAGCTTGTATGCTGTGGCACAATTACAAAACAAACATATGTCTCAAGTGGCTGTGGCTGAAGAGGAAGAGCGGTCGGCGGTTCGATCTCAGTCTTCACGCATCCATCCGAATGCCAAAGTGTTCTTGGGCAAGATGCCTAACCCCAAATTGCCCCTCATAGAAAAAGTGCTGCCCATAGATGTACTGTATGAGTGGCAATAAACTGTACTGTAAAGCGCTTTGAGTGGTCATCAAGACTATAAAAGTGCTATATGAATACAGACCATTTAGCATTTGATGTAATGTGAGTATAAAGCAGGTAAACTATGCAAGTGGGCGACAACCTGTCAGCCATGAAGGATCATTACCTAAAACAACTTTACGAACACAACATATCGATGCTCATTCCACTTGAAAGATCTGCAGCAGTGTATCAGCACTCACTACGACATCTGACTGTGAACCTAATGCTGCACAGTTTAAAAAGGAAGTTATGGTTTTGGTTTGTTTAGTCTGGACTGATTACCAGGAAACTTGGCGTAGGCATGCAGAGATGCAGGAGCAATCAAACATGATATTCCCTTCCCTTATTGATTCCGTTTAAGGCTCTTCATGGCCCGGCCCCAGGCTATATCGCTGATCTTTTGATTCCCTATTCACTTCTGCCCAGGGTCAAGTTTCACTTCAGAATCTAGGCTGAAAACTAGGGGGACAGAGTGTTTACCATCAGGGTCCCAAGTCTCGGCTAAAAACGTACCTTTGTCGGAATGCATATTCCTGAATTTACTTGGGGTGCCAGGCTATTGTTGGTCTTTTATCTCATCATAATTACCATAATTATTCATGTACTTGTTCTGTATTTTATTTTATTTTTTTCTGTGGTGTAGCATTTTGCTTGATTCAATTTAAAGGAGACTGTTGGGCCTTGGCGTAGGCATGAGCTCCTCTGAGTGCTATTCTAGTTTAAGATAAGTTGGATTTATGCTTTTATTAATTTAAACTCTGCTTCTTAGGCTGAAGGAGCCTGTAAGTGTAATGGCTGGAAGAGTCAGAACCCCCCTCCCACTCCCCCCCGAACTGACCAGCAGTCCAACGCAGTCAACCTGCAGGAGCCCTGTCGCAGCTGCTCTCACACTTTGGGTGAGTGACTTGGAAAGAAGCTAATTGATACGTACATGCTTGGCATTAGATTTATTATTGATCTTATTGTTAATTCTTGTTTTATGTATCCCCCAGGTGATCACGTGACGCATCTAGAAAACGTGTCAGAGGAGGAAATGAACAGGCTTCTCGGTATCGTCCTAGACGTGGAGTACCTCTACACTTGTGTTCACAAAGAGGAGGATGCTGACACTAAGCAGGTCTACTTCTCCCTCTTCAAAGTAAGCCTCTGCTTTGAGTATTAAAGATATACAAACAGGATTTTCCCAGCCTCCATTGTGTACAGGTAAACACACGTCTTTTCTGTCGATCTTTCAGCTGCTGAGGAAATCCATTCTTCAAATGGGTAAACCGACGTTAGAAGCACAGGAGAGTCCTCCGTTTGAGAAACCCAGTATTGAGCAGGTGAACACACATATTGACTTTGTGTCAAGGCCTGTTGACACAAATTAGAATTCTAATGTTTCCTCATGTGTATTTTCTTTCCCATACAAATAGGGGGTGAACAATTTTGTCCAGTACAAGTTCAGCCACCTACCGTCTAAGGAACGTCAAACAATCATGGAGCTTGCTAAGATGTTTCTCAACCAGATCAACTACTGGCAGCTGGAGACGCCCTCTCAGAGACGCCAGAGGGTGCCTACTGACGACGCCGCTGGATACAAAGCCAACTACACCAGGTAGCAGCTTGAGCACACATCCTGTCTACGTGCATTACACCTGAATACGGTCACGTTTAAACTGAGCTTCTTCTGTCGTGCACTCACTACAGATGGCTCTGCTACTGCAACGTGCCTCAGTTCTGCGACAGCCTTCCCCGGTACGAGACCACGCAGATCTTTGGGCGGACACTGCTGCGCTCGGTTTTCACTGTGATGAGGAAACAACTGCTAGAGCAGGCGCGACAGGAAAAGGACAAGCTGCCACCTGAGAAACGCACACTTATTCTCACACACTTTCCCAAGTAAGGAAAAGGAAAAACATACAGCAACTCCCAAGATTTATCACCGGGAAATGTACCGCAAATGTAAATTGGCTATATCTTCAAACTAACACGTAATTAACAATCCAGAACAACCGCTAATCACATATGCATACTTGACTAACTTTACAACTAAGTTGCCTTTGCTTTGTTTTCTTTGGCTCAGGTTCTTGTCTATGCTGGAGGAGGAGGTGTACAGCCACAGCTCTCCCATCTGGAGCCAAGACTTCTTGGCAGGAGCATCGGGGGGGCAGATCCCTATTCACACAGGTAACAAACACCCTCGCAGGCCAAACACGAACGCACAGATGCATTGTTCAAGCCGACCTTGGATTTTTTTTAACTTTTGCTTTTATTATCCTCTGCACAGTTATCAGCGCTCCCCCCGTGGCCAGGCCATTGTACTACAGCACCAGCCCCGTGTCAGTGGACCCAACCACCTGTGGCAGTGTCAGTCCAGCCAGGAAAACTGTGTTGGAGTCAAACCCAGGTGTTACAGTCAAACCTCTACATGACTACACATCTAGAAAATATTCATCATCTTCATCTGACTGATGTGAAACCAAAACATAACATGACCTACTGACTGTTTACCATCACGCTACCATCACGATTAGCTGAGCTCCAATGCTGGTTGACATCTTGTTTGGGTTTAAATGCACTGATGACAAGTTCCTCCCTCTTTGCCCATGTGCTGTCATAGTGGGAGAGAAGCGTAAACCCTCCGAGCCCCTTTCCCATGAGGAAAACAAGAGACCGCGGGCGGTGGGTGACATCCCCATGGAGCTCATCAATGAGGTGATGGCAACCATCGCCGACCCTGCTGCCATTCCTGAGGTAAAGGCAAAAGAAATCAAGGACATAATTGAAACTGTGTCCTTATGGATTACAAATGATATCATATTTAACTGAAGAATTGTATGCCTTAATGATATAATTCTTCCATGAGTTCATCATACAGAGGAAATATTGATTTAATTTAAATAAAAATGTTTTATTAAAGGAAAAATACCATTGAGATAGTGTCATTGTTTCATAACATTTATTGAAATCTACATCTTTAACAGAATACTGCATACAACAATCTGATCTGTGGATATCTGACCATATAGGAAATTAAAATAAGTTAAATAAACGCTCTCTAAACCTATTTTCTTTACGAGGATGCTAATGGTGGGAGTAAAGGTTATAATCATGATGCATGACTTTATGATTTTCCCTCCTGTGCAGACCAGTCTGCTGTCAGCTCACTCTGCACGTGATGAAGCTGCCCGTTTGGAGGAGCGCAGGGGGGTGATCGAGTTCCATGTCATTGGTAACTCCTTAAACCAGAAGCCCAATAAGCGGATCCTGATGTGGCTCGTCGGCCTCCAGAACGTGTTCTCCCACCAGCTTCCCCGCATGCCCAAAGAGTACATCACACGACTGGTGTTCGATCCGTGGGTGGAACCGTAGTTAATCATCATCACTTATTGGGGGGGTGTTGAAGAGGTGACTAAAATGCAAGTTTTCATTGACAGGAAGCACAAGACGCTGTCGCTGATCAAGGACGGCCGCGTGATCGGAGGGATCTGCTTCCGCATGTTTCCATCGCAGGGCTTCACAGAAATCGTCTTCTGTGCCGTCACCTCCAACGAACAAGTCAAGGTGAGAGCGGCTCCTGCGTCTCAGCCTCGTGGAAACTTCCATGTCTACTTGATCATTTTTTTAACCTTTGCCTGTGGCTGTGTGGCTGCAGGGTTATGGAACCCATCTGATGAACCACCTGAAGGAATATCACATCAAGCACGAAATCCTCAACTTTCTCACTTATGCTGATGAGTACGCCATCGGCTACTTCAAGAAACAGGTAACATGCTATGTTCATTAATTTGCTCAGTACATGCTTATTATACATTACATTACAGCTGCTTTGGTCACAGGATGTAATTGTCGTCCTCCTCAGTCTCTCACAAACATCTTCCCTCTGTAAAACAAAATAATTGTTTTTTATATTGCTGGTCTGCCATGTTTAACAATAATGAAAAACTCTGCTAAGGCCCAAGAGTCCCCTTATAAAGCCATATTTATATTTAGAATTGCACACATTCAATTATTAGGCCTATTAGGCAAATGTTGTATCTCTCAGTATTAAAGAAAAAATCTGATCTGATCTGAATTCTGCACCCAAAAAGTTATTGATTCTTTCCTAAGTTGCTTTTATGTAATCCTGATAAATAATTACTACCATTTGTTCTTCTGCCTTGCTTTCATTTTACATTTTTACTTGGTATTGATATGTTATGAAACTATAATGATAAAAATAGCGTATGCACAATATACCCAAATCAGGCAATGTTAACTTTTTTAAACTGCAATGATGCCATTTCATAATAATATCATCATGATGTAATTTATAAGATATGATGAATGATTCATCTATAGAGCTGAAGATCATATGATGGGGAATCATTTCTTTTATATATATAGGGATATCTTTTTTTCCCGTCGACATTTGACCTCTGACTGATCAGCTCCAAAAGTGAATGATCTGGAGAAACCATCCTAAGTAATATTCACACCACGTTAAGTGAAATCTGTCCATGCACTGTTGACTCCCACAACATGGGTGTGTTTTTTTAAATGAGATAATTTGTGCAGTGGTTGCGTGGCCCTGTATAAACTGCTGCCAGAAAACATGTCTCCTCCTCCATCTCAGGGTTTCTCAAAGGACATCAAAGTTCCCAAGGCCAAGTATGTGGGCTACATCAAGGACTACGAGGGAGCCACACTCATGGGCTGTGAACTCAACCCCAGCATCCCCTACACAGAGTTCTCCATTATCATCAAGAAGCAGAAGGAGGTGTGTGGGCGTTTGAATTTTAAATTAAAAGTTAGAAACTTTTAAAAATCCTTCCTTCTCTCTGTTCCTACACTTACTATCTGTTATTCCACCCTCTTGTGTCTCTTTCTGTCAGATCATTAAGAAACTGATAGAGAGGAAACAGGCTCAGATCAGAAAAGTCTACCCCGGACTTTCCTGTTTTAAGGAAGGAGTTCGGCAGATTCCCATAGAAAGCATTCCTGGCATACGTACGTTCCTACTAACCGTATTCACAGTATATGACATTTGTATTATTATTTTTAGTATTTTAGATGGTACTCACTTTAGTGTTATTTTATTAACAGGTGAAACTGGCTGGAAACCTGTGGGCAAAGGGTAAGTGTGAATCTACTGTGAAAGATTTCAACTGAGCACTGTGCCTTTGCATTGCTTCACCAAATGACTTGGCTGATGTTTTCCCCAAGTTGGCATGAAGCAAGTTTTCTAAATTAAGGACCGCAGATCAGTTAGCAGGAGTATAATTAAATCTCTTAGGTCAGCAAGGATACAAACAGCAGTGACCGGAGTTACAGACCATAAAATACAATACAATAAGATAAGATAACTTATGATTCGATAAGATAAAAAACAATACAGTACAATATGATACAATTTCTTTATGTAACCTTAACGTAAACTACACTACAATAAGATAATATTCCATGTAGGATACAGTAAGATATGTTACAATATTACACAATCTAATATAAAAACAATACAGTACGATGTGATACGATACCTTATGATACCATAAGATAAACTACACTACTGTACTGCCATGTTACAGCAGCGAAGAGGATAGTACAAATACACACCAGTAAAAGAAGACATAAGGTAATATAACAAATAGAAAATAATAGAATAATATATACATCATCATTAAACATTCATCAAGTTTGGACCCAAGCATAAGAACAATTTTCATCAAAAGGCTCGGGTCTTGTATCTGGATATCAAACCAACTAAAATCACTTCTTCCAGTATTGTATTAAGGTATTTTCTACACTGTTTTCTTTATTATACTTACACTGTACTAATATAAGTATTATACTTATTATTACTATGGTGAATGTTTTTGCATTCTGCATTAATTCTTCTCCAGGAAGGAATTGAAGGACCCTGATCAACTGTACAGCACTCTGAAGACCATCCTTCAACATGTGAAGGTGAGGGACAAACACACACATGTACAGATGCACAGCACCGACAACACATACATGTACACACACCTCTTTAGTCCCTAACATCATTCATCTTCATGTCACAGAGTCACCAGAACGCCTGGCCGTTCATGGAACCTGTGAAGAAAACAGAGGCACCTGGGTACTATCAAGTGATTCGCTTCCCCATGGGTATGTAATCGCATGACATCTAAGTAAAGCTGATACAAGTGGCATAACGACTGATACATTTTTTTGTCAATCACAAAGAAATATAACTGACCCTTGATATTTTACAGGAGTAACCATAAACTTTATTTTAAATGATAATGTAAGACTAATAAATCCAAATATTTGGAACCTGAACTAAGATGTTGAAAAACACCCTTCTCGATGGGTCACATGATCACCAGGGAGATGTGTAGAGCAAGAACGGATCTGTCCATTAGCAGCACTTTAATAAAAACTTTAATGCTACGCATGGTGGTTTCATTTAGCTTCTTTAAAAGTCACTCACCCAAAGTCTGTGTCAAGTAGGTTGTGGCTTTTTCTGTCATTTCACCAACAGGCTTCGTCCGTCCTCTAAATATACCAGATTCTTTTCACCTACATCCATGAGTGATTCCCTGTGAAACTGCTGAAAATGTCAAAAATCATCTCGCAATGTTAAAGAAAGTGAAAAAAAAAAGATTCTGGATCTGCTCACTGATTCGAGTCAGCACCCTGGTCCCTGGTCTCTCCCCAACCCATACCACATACTTCCATTACGTTTTGTGATAATCCCTCCTGCAGTTATAATCCTGTTGATAAGCAAATATACAAACCAACAAACAAACCTGCCTTGGAGGAGGTAGTGATTAGAGAGAATAACTGAATAATGCTAACAGCAGCATTTGGGATTAAAAAATGACTCAATTTCACATTTAGCACATTTCAGTAGTTCTCACAGTTTAATATTGTTCAAGTGGCACCAAGACTGAAGTGTCCTTCTTGAAAATAGAAAAGAGCTCTGTCCTCATTAGTGCACTTAACCAATTACTGAGAGAAGAGAAATCACATTTCACATTCTATTTCTTTTTTCTCCTCACAGATCTGAAGACAATGAGCGAGCGCCTGAAGAGCAGGTACTACACGACGCGCAAGTTGTTCATGGCCGACATGCAGCGCATCTTCACCAACTGTCGAGAGTACAACCCTCCGGAGAGCGAGTACTACAAGTGCGCCAATCTACTGGAGAAGTTCTTCTACACCAAGATTAAAGAGGCCGGCCTCATTGAGAAGTAGAACAGAGGAGGAGGAGAAGTTTCTCTTCACCTCCACAAAGAATGAGACAAGGCCTCTGTGGTCCAGGTTATACGGGGACTACTGACTCTGGAGCGGTCGGGTTTCAGAGACATATTTTGATGTAAAAGGTGCACACTGGTCTCAGATCAGCACTCTTTAATGTTTGATGCATGCAGGCAAAGATCCTGAATCGGTAGCTTAGACTGATATTTACACTGAAAGATAGGCCGCGAGGGACGGCCTCACTGACGACCTGTGAGACTGTCGCTGACATGAAACATAAGAAAACGTGTGTCTTCATATTTCATCACATATCCCAGGGTCCCGTGCAGAGAAAGGACAGAGGAAGGTGTGAGAGTAATACATATTGAACGGGGCTGAAAGCTTCTGTTGTTTGTGTGTGAAGACTGAGAGGCAACGGAGATTCACCGCTCACCTTTCTTACTTTGTCTCTCTCCGTCTCCTCTTTTTTTTCCTTTCATCCCCTCATCCCCCTGCCTTTCTGAATGCCTGCCTCCTCCTCCTCATCTCAGTGGACTCAGGTAGATATGTCACATCTACTGTGTGTTACATCATTACACAAGTGTTACCTTCGAGGGCCGTGACTGAGAGATCAGATTTTCCTGTCTGTGCAATCGTGCGCGCCACTAATGAGGTCAAAGTTTGACTGTGATGAGTTCATCCTGCCAAAAGAGGAATACATACTTTAAATTTGTACAGATTTTAATTATTTTAAAGCACTTATTCCCATTGTATATTTTAAATGTGTATATAACATATATTTTCTGTTTCAGAACTAAAACAAAATAATCTTTTTTGTACAAGCCACCTAGGGCAGTGTGACTATCAAAATGCACTTTTATTTTTCCAAGTATTAGTAAACATAAAAATAAGAGCATCCTCTTCTCTTCAAAATTTGTTTGACATTTAAATTACCGCTGACTAAGGACTAATTTAATTATCTAGAGTTTATTCTTATTTATGTGCTGTAATTTAAAAAGGAAATGCTTTAGACAAGGTTAATTTATTCTCTCTTTATTTTTGCCCTGCAGATGGAGATTGATAACTTTATACTTTGGAGATAAATGAGAAGATTGTGCAATACTATGTAGTTTTGCTGTTTTGTAAAAAGGTGTTTGTACTTTTCAAACTTTAGGAAAATATGTTTTGTATTATGTCTGGAAAAACTACTTCATGCTCTTTGTACAACTGGTTTTAATGACATAGTATTAGCCTATTTTATAGACTGAATAAAAGAGGTGAGGCTAATTCAGCGTCTGTGGTGACTCAACTCAATCACATCATTTCTATGCCTCCGCACCAGCAACACCAGATGGCATTCTACCAAAGATATCTCAAGAACACATTGAGGGAATTTAGTCAGATTTGATTTGAATGTTCACTTGGATTCAAGGATGACCTGGTTGGAATTTGGAGGTCAAGGTCACTGCAACCCTCTTAAATGCGTTATCTTAATGAGAATAATTTTAAATTTGGCACAATTCTTCACTTAGACTCAGATTAAGTGATTAGATTTCAGTGGTCAAGGGTCACAATGAGTCTGGATTAAAAAAAATAAATTATTAAACAATTTTTGAGTTTTAAGTTCAACCTAAACAAACAAGTTTCGATGGAACTCAGTTTTCCAGTGTTAACCCTTCAGAATAAAAAATTGCTCTCCAATAAAGCTCATTGTCTAAACTTGTCATTCGAGCAGAGCCATTAATATAATTTGTGTTCTTTTTTACGAAAGAGTAAAACATTTTAACCGAAAAATTAAACCGATACACATTTGGCCCTGTGGCTCCACCCAACCCCCACAAGTCTTTAAGGATAAGATGTATAGATGAGGGATAGATTAAATTTATTAAAAGACATTAACGTGCTCATATTCAGAAAAGCTCATACTCATTTAGGTATGATGGCACAACATATTTAAAATCCGATTTTCGGAAAATGAGGAAGTAGAGGAGAGAAGAGAGAATTTAAGTAAAAGTATGAAACATGAAAAGTTAAGGGAAAACAATCTTCTCCTGCTCACAGTCAAATTATGCGTATATATATATATACGCATCCTACGCATATATATATATAGCATATATCACAGAAAGATGCAACCTTGCAAATGAAAACCAAACTCTGACAATGTCAGCAAACACTTGAAAACAAGGTCGCTGCTTTCAGCGACAGCCGACAAATGACTCATTGTATTTCTCAAACGTCTGCTTGCCGCTCACAGAGTTCCTTGATTTCTGCACAGACCCCCTGTCAGTCTTCTCCTTGAATATAGGAGAACTGAGGAACTGCAGGTCTGTGAATTTGTCTCCCCGCCGAAGTTTCCTGTTAGGATGAGAATATAATTGAGAATTCGTACAGTATAAAACATTTACCATGAGTGGCTTTAATATGCAAACTTACGCATTCAGCGAGGGCTCCTTGTAGTCCACCACCATGGTGCAGCGCCGCTTGCGAGTGGGGACAGGAGTGGAGCATCTGCCATCAGAGGGGTACTTGCGATAGGCTGCAGGGGACATATTGGTCATATCACACAGACTCAAGCCCCGCCCTGCTGTCCTTACACCAAGCCCACCTGTAGAAATGTGAAGGAAGATGTGACGAGAAAGAGAAAAGGAAACAGAAGTTGTGTGTATTTCTGAGCGTACACCAGTGAACAGCAACAAACTCAGAGTGCAATAGAGATGACGCACAGAGAAGTGACAGTCATTGGCCAATAAGCTTACGTTTCTTGCACGCCTTGATCCGCTGAGGTGTTTGATGTGGTAAAAGAGGAGTGTCGCTGGTGGAATCTCTGAAGTTGGACAGGACGTTGTCTATTCTCATCATCTCAGCTTCAACCAGTGGGCTGACAGGAAGCAAACAATCCTCCTCCATCATCTCACTGTGAGGTTCTGGCAAACATACACAAATATTCACCTTTAAAACAAATGACCACTTGCAAAAAAAACAGACATTCAAGCCCCAAAAGGAACCATAACAATTTTCCTCACCCTGACATTTTCGTTATTATTTTTCTGACAATCAGAAAAAAATGACAATCTGAAAAACATTGATGTCAAACTTGTGTGTCTATGCTGCTGGAATATTCCAACAAAGAGTCGTCAGAGTGGAAAGAAAGAAAGGTCCAGTTTAGTGTGCAGCTTAATTTTACTAAATTGCCACTGCATCCAAACTGAGAAAAAAGCCCTTTACCGTGGGTAAATACATAATAATAATAATATTATTGCCACACAGGCGGATTAGCAGATTGTTTTGTCGGTCTCCCTGTGGCATAAGAACTCAAACACTATAAACTATTTTAACAGACATAAAGTGAACATGTTGCAGAACATGTGCTCACCTTGGTGATGTTCCTGTTCCACCCCCTCAGGGTTAGGGCTGTTAGAGAAGCTCAAATCAGGGCAGTGAGGGAGATGACCTTCTTTCTCTTCAGGCTCTGCAGTCTTAGGACTTGATTCCTCATCTCTAAAGACTATAAAACAAAAAGGCAATGGCAGAAATTGTTTGGTTATAACCATTAAATGTCTCTTTCAAAGCTTTTAAAAGTAATGTGAAATTAATGCCCATGTTCTCACCAGAGATCTCTTTTTTTGGAGGGATGTTTTCCTTTTGTCTGGGCCGGCCTCTACGGGTGGTGATCCCTTTGGTCTTGCCCAGTGAAGTCTGTCTCCCCCTGGTTTTTTGAGGAACATAAAGGCTGTCCTCAGATTCAGATGATGGTGATGACGAGCTCGACTCATTCAGTCTGGAAGTGACATGTGGTGCATCAGTCTGGGCCTGTTCTCTTTGCGGAGCCTCTTCACTGATTGGTGTGGCCGGTTGACTGTCCTCAGCCTTCGCCTTGAACGGTGTGACGTGTACCGTCTCTTCACAGTCGAAGTCAAACGTGTCATTAAATCCCAGTGATGTGTTGAGCTTATTGCCCTGCGATGGAGGTGCTGCTCTGGAACGCGTGGCTGAACGGTCCCGACTCTTGGAGCGGGTTCTGGGTTTGGGATTCTCCCATGGTTTCTTTAACTGAGCACGCTCTGGTCTGCGGCCTCTCTCAGCTTTCCGTGCAGGCACCTCTGGTTTGGTGCGCGGCTCTCGCTGGGCTTGTTTCCTGTTGGGCTGCTGGTGGTTGATTTTTTTAGGCGGGACTTGTTCAGGGGTAGAGTGCTGAAACTCTTCATTGTCAATGAGATCTGCAAGTTCTGATTCTGGACCAAGCTGTGGCTGATTTGGATTTTTTTCATCACCCTGAATAGGACTCGCTATTAAAGTCTCTAAGCATGCTGCGGCGTCACCCCCACTCAACAACCTCTGTTCCTGCACACGCTCAGACCTCCTGTTGTTTCTTCTGTCAGTGTGCCGACGGCGTACACCCACTGAGGATGGTAAAGTAGCCTGCTTGTCACATCCACGTTGTCCAGAGGTCTGAGGCTCTGTGAAGAAAAAGACAACATTATGAATTATACAAGCTCAATTTCAGAAGACAAATGCAGTAGTTTATTGGAATACTGTAATCAACAGCTTTGTGTAATTTTCTGAAAATCCAAAGAACAGATTATATTTAAATAAATTTGGGGATAAACCTATTGTTTAAATAAAATGTATAATTATGTCCTAGAATGCAACTTAATATCTACGTGGATGAACAAAATGAGTATTTCTACTCTTTTCTCAGCTGATGAGTTAGCTATACCTGCACTTATTGGTGAGGCTTTGCAAACAACGGGCTCATCAGGGTTCTGGTTGGTCCGCTTTCTCCTGAAAATAAAACAGTAACAGATTTTCAGTCCAAAAACTCAGGTTAAAGGTTATAATAAAATGTTCTGCAATGAACTTTCTATTTTAAAGTTACCTTGCTGAATTCCTGTGGTGCTGAGGTTCAACAGAGATGTTTGCAGCTTTTGTCTAAAAAGATACATACACAAAAATATACATTCAGACAATTTGTAAGTGAAATCCAGAATCAGCTCTAATGTGAAACATGGACTGGATATGGGCAAGAGGAAGTGAAGGGTACCTCTGAGGTGCTCGCTGTCAGGGCTTCCTGCTCCTTGAGCTTCCTCTTGAGCAGGAGCAGGTGAAGGAACAGAGCCTGTTGCTCTCGTTTCAGCTGCAGGATCACTGCGTTGGCCTGTCTCACTTTTTCCTTTTCAGACTGCAGGGCTACAGCCAGCGCCTTGTTGTTCTGCTGGACACCGTTCAGGATGTTGTGTGTGGAGATGACCCCTGGGAGTAAACACAATAAGGTCAAATAAGATTATCATGTTCAATAGGGGCAAAATACCACCAACACCTGCATCTTACAAGTACATTATAATGAACATATATTTTGATTTCAGTTACATTAACTGTGGGAAACGTGCTGATCCTCACCGCTGCTTTTGTGAATGATTCTGGGTCGTCCTCTGCTGGGAGCCGTGGCACTCGCCAGCCGTTTGTTCCTCTTCTCTTTCATCTTGTCCTTGATGTCCTCCAGACTCTGCTGGAAGGACTTCTTCTGGGCCCGTTCTTTCACCATGGCTCACGACCTCCGATCGGGTTTCAAGCGTTTGTGGGTTGTCCGGCTAATCAGCAGCGCAGCATTGTGACCACAAACCTTAGCAAAACAAACGACTCGGCTAACCTGCTAGCTAGGTTAGCAGGCTACTTGACGTCAACCACACGCACGCTCTATCTTCCGTAGCCGCAGGAGGACGTTATAAAATAAATCGACTTACCAGCATGTGTGTATCGACAAGCTGCTCGATGCGTGAATAAGACAAATGTGCTATTTAGTTCAAAATGGCAGCGGATGATAAGTTTTCTCTCTGATCACTAGCAGACTCTCAACGAGTTAACGTTCGAATTTTGAGCCGCGAGTGCTGATTGGTGGAAATTTCAGCAGACGTCACTTCCTCCAAGTGAAAATAACGTTTCGCAAGATGGCGCTGATGCACAGAGGAAAAGAAATTGTACCTATAGTAGTGATTTCATATTTACTCACGATGTGTAGTTCTACTATCACTTGGATGAGATGAGATGAGATAGAACTGTATTTACGTTGAAGGGGCTTCTTGTGCCAGATCTTTCTCCAAAGTTGCAATAACAAATAATTATATAGAAATATGAAAAATAAGTATCAAAATATCAGGAGAGAACCAGTGTTTAAATATATCGCAATACAAGTAAGATGAGTTCCAAAAATATAGAAAACAAAATATTTCACATGATCATGAACGTAAAATTGTTAATGGTATTAATGATGGAAGTAAAGATATTGTCCATGAAATGATAAATGGAAAAATGCACATGTAACGCATGATAATGAAAAATGCACCTCATACACACTATCTTTGGCCCCATATACTCCATATATACTTCATATGCTCTTAGGGCCTATATATACATTATCTCAGGGCCTATATATACGTGATCGCATGACCTATATACACACTATATTAGGGTCTATATACACACAATCTTAGGGCATATACCTTCATACACCAACTCAACTGTCTCCCATTAAAATCCTACTTCAATGCCACGAGTGCCTATTCCTGCCCTTTCTCAGGTTTTACTCAGTAAATGTTCCGTAAATATTGAATTACAGTAAAATAACTGGTCATGATCTCATTTTCTCTCTCAAGTCAAAGTCAAGCAGGCATGTCTTACTTGGCAGCAAACTGGGGAAGAAACTAGCACCCTTCGTGCAGGGCACTGCAGCTAATGCAACATCCATTTGGACTGTTTTTGTCAGCGAGGATCCAAGAAAATGTCTGCGACAGCCAAGTGAGTGGCGTATTGAGGCTACGAGAAGGGCTTTGGTGAAGCGCTGTGTTGTCAGTGTCGCCCTCTGAAAACAAATGACTTCAGTACGGGTGCCTCAGCTGTAAAACAGGCTTGTACTTTTGGGCAAGACCCTTTGGTAAAGTATGTGGTTCATTGTTGATTTAGCTCACTTTTCTCACAGATGTTTTCAATGGGATTATTTCTATACAGGTTGCATAAGAATAGCAGTTAAGATTTATTACTAAGAAAATAAATATAAAAAAACTATGCAAAAATCCAGCTAACGTCATAAGCTCTTTTTAGTAACAGGCATGGCCTTTTGGTATTTGTGGTGGTTCTGAGTAAGTGTTGTAGGTGTGAGTGCTCCGTTACTAAGTGAGCCATACAAATCTATAATGACTCACTGTTTTAATAATAAGATCACTTCTTTTTCAACTAAAAGGTCCTTTATTCTTGCTAAAGGTGAGTTAGTGTTACAGCTGCTCCCTTATTGCAGGGAAATAGTGAGTGTGTGTTTTGTACACAAGCCTTTTTGTATTAAATCAAAAAAAAAGAGAGACAGGAGGGAGATAAACATAGAGTAAGACGGAGGGACTCCACAGGTTTTAGCACAGCTTGGTTTAATGGACAAATCCATCACACAGTCATTTCATGCCACCCCTGACTCTCCTTGTGTCAGACGCCTGGAGAGAAACTTATTATCACAGGTACAGGAAAAGGACAGAAGGGACTGAAATTTTAAACGGAGTGGGTTTTGTGCTAGTCGGAGAGAAATCAAGGCACAATAAAGATACAAACAACAACTGACTGCAGACAACAACACAGAAGAAGACACTGCCTTTTGAGTATAACAGGAGCTACTAGTTCAAATATCTTATGATGTGATGCTCTAATATCAGGGATTCACAAGCGAATCCTTGTCCAATCTGATCTCTAGTTCACCCATCCCTGTCCAGACAGTCTGACTGGCCAATAAAAAGATCATCTGCTTTCTTGCCAGATGAAAAGTATTAGCTCTAATCTGTGCACTCGCCTCAGACGGGACCCAAAATACACAGCCCTCCTTTTTTTAATATGGAAAATGTGCATATGGTGCCATACTCACGATTTATGATAATGAAATCATAGCACAGGGTCTGTAATCAACCACAAAAGCAAACCTTAAGCCAGAAACAGTTCAGGAAATCAGATTATAGCTTGTTTTATGAATCTCAGATTGATGAGTTGCCACCTACATCCTTACCCTGTTTTCTTTAGTTTAGTTACAGAAGGAGAACATCAACAACACAGTCCAAGACTTATTAGGATAATGATGCTTGTCGTAAAGATAGCACATATGCAGGAAGCCAGGAAATTATACTAAACATTTCAACATGATTAAAACTGAAATCAGCATCAATAACAACACAACAAAAATATACATATATCAAAAATATTATATATTAAACATAAACTATATACATAATAAACAATATAATTTCGACTGTATTTATGTAGCACTTTTCGAGTCTTATAGAACACTCAAAGTGGTTTACACTATAAGTAAAATTTATGTTTTATCACACATTCATTTAGAGGTAAATGGAAAACTTTTTCCATCACACTTTAGCCACATACTACTGTTTGCCCAAGGACTGGAGAAGCTGGGGATTAAACCACCAACCTTCTGGTTCCCACATCCTGAGCCACAGCAACCCAAATTATGATGTGCTCATACCCTTTCTCAAAATCATGTAAGTCCAAAATTTGCTCTTCATTTGCAGTAGTTGGCGAGTAGTTTGCAAAGGTAACCAAAGCTGACAGAGCTCCAACACAATCCCTTGAATGGTAGATATGTATGTCAGACCCATTTCCCAAAAAAAGCCTCTTCTAACCTATAGCATAACATTACCACCTAATTGGTAAAATGACCATAATTAAGGGTGCCTGTGTAGTTATTAGCTACTACAGCTGGACCATCGACTGTGTTTACATTTGCATTTATTATGTCTTTCAATATTGCAGGATTCTAACCTGAAAGCCTTTCCCTGGTGTGAGAAAGGCTTGTGTCTGACTGCATCGCTAAATGAAGGAGCTCTCCTCCAGCAGAATACATCTCTTTGAACCTGGCCGACAGCGGCACCGAGCCACAGACACACATTCAGCTCTCTGTGGGTTGCAGCTTGGTCATTATGCCCTACAGCCTGCTCTTAAACACCCTGCTGTGCCATTTACTTCACAGCCAACATCCCCTCCATTTACTGATGTGTTGCTCCATGCCACACCGCCTCACAGGGACTAAAACAAATTCTGTTTGGCGCTTCGACAGCAACGGCTGCTACTTAGAAATGGAAATAGAATAAGGAATATAAAATGCCAGCTTTTGTTCCCTGGGCAGTGGGAAGCTGTGTTCTGAATGAATAACAATGATGAAAATGTTGGTACTATTTTTTTAAATTTATCATTAAAATTGTTTCAGTCATAACCCCGTAAATTTGCCATATTTATGTCTGTCACACAATATAAGTGTGCTTTTAAAGGGATTTTCCAATATTTTTGATAGATACATACATTTGCCTGAATGAGAAGACATTAACATACTAATATATCTGTATAGTAAATATGTTTACAGGGAAACAGACTTCCTTTCTGATTGTGTCTGACCTCTAATACTAATTAATCAAAACTTTATATACTTACGCATACAAAAAAAGTGTAAAAACAATAAAGTGCTAATTATTGTATTTTCCAAAATGTTGGCCTATTCTTTCAATCAATCCTCAAAACCCTTTCCCATTTTTTTTCTAATTTATTCCAGCAACAAGAATTCCCCCAGTGTTTATTCTTATTTAACTTAATATTTTTTTTATTACTTTTCAGTTGGCAGTAGTATTTCATGTTTTATTTTTTAAGTCGAGTTTCATCTTCCATCCCTCATCTCTGTTATATCATATTCTCATTACCACCTTTGTTTTATGACTTCTGCAAAACGCAGACGTCAAAATGCTGCATCCTCATGCCAAAATCTTATTATAGTCTTTTTCTATGTGAGCATTGAGCAGAACTGCCCTCACATGGCATGCACCGCTCTGTTCTGTACCTTTGTACTCCGTCCAGGTAGCAGAGAATGAAAAATTCCCTGGATGTCAGGCTTTTGTGTTGCTGACATATGCTCATGCGTGTATGTGCTCATGGATGCCCTGAGAAAGAGTAAAAACGTAAAAAGAGATAACGAAAGAAAGACGACAAATAGTGAAGGAGAAAAGTGAAGGCTGGCGAGGGACTGAGCCCAGGAGGTAAGGGGCCAGAGGAGGTCTGAATTCCGACAGCCTTTTGAAAATAGAGCATCCCACACACAGATGTTCACGATCACTGCACCACACAATTAATAACAATAATAATGACTGCTGTGACAACTGGAGGATCAGGAGGCATTGATTGATTGGATGATAATTCTGTGAATTGGCTGGTGGAATTATTTACTTTGGAGCAGCTGTTGGTAGCAAAAGCAGACAATGTCTAATTAATCCAGTTTGGTGTCAGCCTGCTGATGAAAGACGAAAAGAAAACGAGAAGTCACGGAAAGTTGAAAAAGCTGCGATCACAGAGCCTCTGACCCGATGAACTGAACTCAGCCTCGGAGAAAGGTTAAAATGGCCATCACTCAGATGTCAGATAATTTAGATAATGTCATCATTATCTGATTCAGTCACGATTAAAATAGTTAATAGTGGTAAGAGGAATTTGCAGAAGGAGAAACAAGCCTGAGACAAAATCTAAACGTCTGCCTGACATGTTTCAACATCATAAACAGCTCCTCAGATCAGTGACCGTACCCCAGCTGCAGCTCACTTGTTTTAAACCTCTAGTTCAAAATGAGATGCATGATGCAGTAAACCTGATCAAAAAGACAGACGATGAAGAAGGACACTGCATTCCTGCATTGATTCTTCTCAGAGAAATGACGTTGGATGGGATGCAGTGGGGGTGAAAGGGGTTATCTGTACTCCCCAGGAATAAATAGTTGGAAAAAGAAGAAAAGTTTCATGAAGCCAAATAAAGACTATGGATGCGTCCTTTCCATTATTTTGGCAAATACTTGAACACAGACCAAGGAATGATTGTTTCTGC